TTCACTTCCGTTCGGGCTTCGCTAATAACCTGTATACACTGGCTTCTTGCTCAGCCAGAGCTTTGGCAGACTTAACCCATTCTTCTTTGGATTCTGATTCGGGCAACTGTTGCATTTGTGATCTCAACGCCTGGATCTGCCCATCCCTGTTGGACATCACATTGGTGCGGTACAATTCCGCACCCCTAAGCTTCGCCTGTGTAGCTGACTCTTCACGATGTAACTTCTCATGAAGCTGCTCATTCTCATAGTTCAACCTGGCTTTCACACAATTGCCAATATTAACCTGAGACTTGTATTCATTAGCAGCTTCCATCGCCTGCCGCAAAGATGCCGACTCGCCGACATCTCACTGTACTCCATCTTGTAGCGATCTGAACCCCGGTTGGTTTCGAAAACCATAGATTCAAAGCTCATTAAGCTTGACGCTCTTGATCTTCACTTGATCGATGGGCAAGTCCTGTTCATCCTTCATTCTGCCGTGAACATGCGCAACTCATCATACTGCTCTGCAACTTCACTCAACTGTAATTCCGTTTTCTGTTGGTATTTCCGCAAATCTTCATCGAGTTGTTGGTCCGCTTGGGGAATGAGCAAGAAGACTTTTCTCCCTTTCGAGATTTGCGGAGTTGATCCCTACCATCATCTCCATCTGACAGTACCCTCGATCGCCTGCGTCACTACGCTGTCTTATTGCAGCAGGTCCAGTACTCACCACAATGGTATCTCCGCTCCCATGACCGGCTGATTCCGGTGTTCCCTGAGATGAAACTCCCGCGGCGGGTGCCGCGCATGTAACCGAAGATCTTCCATCGGTCATTTTACACGTAAATACTGCGCCTCCTGGCAAATTGAGGCTCATCCTTTATGAAGCGGTGGTATGCGACCCCCGTCTCAGATCACCCTCGTCACACAGCACGTGGGATGAGCCCTACGGCTGATAACCTGAGAATGTACCCGACGATAATGGCTGTATCGTCCCCAATGTATCAAGTATCGACGATACCGCAATGCCCCAGCAAGCTCGAATAATCTGTTCTTTTCTGTTGTCTCGGGCACAGCTCAGCTGTACCCTCAAATGCAATGAATAATCCGGAGGACTACATGAGACTTGAGACAATGTGTTGCGTGTCATGACCCTTTTAAGGACCAGTCACTGCCAAACCATTCACACTAATCATGAACAATCCGGCTTTGACAGAGTATCAACCGAAAACGGCACAACGAATTCCGATCAATTGGTCCTCACCGACAACAAGACTATCCAGTAAGGGGTCATTAATTTCACACATTTTGGTCCAGATAGGTGCCCGACATTTGTACAAAGCGTTGACAGTAGAGACGTGCAATTCCTTGTGCATACAATACAAATCAATCACTCGAAGCCAAAAGTAAGTTTCGAGGCTACGGCACATATAAGATGTGGATACTGCGTAGTAATTTGATGCCAGAGGTCAAAAGAAAATTTTGTCTGTTTTGTGGTTGCTTTTGTTACCGCTTAGACATCTGTGCAATCCTGTACTCATTTGGGCTTAAGGCCCTAATCTTGTAGAGTGTACCAGTAGGGCCGGCGAAGCCGGTGGGCGGAAGTTTCAAAAACATAAAGACTATAGTTCTCTCTCTGTCCTTTTCACTGATTCTTTTGTTTCTCCATCATTATTTCTTGCTTCCTTTCTTCCTTTCTTTCCTTCCTTCCTCATTTATTTCCATATTTCTTTCTTTCTTTCTTTCTTTCTGTCTTTCTTTCGTTTTGCTTGTGTTTGTGTTCTTTCTTTTGTCTCTGCTCTATCTACATATCTATCTACTACCTACCTACCTATCTACCGATCTATCTAACTATCTAACTACATTTCCCTATCTACCTATCTATATGCTATCTATCTATCTAATTATCTATCTAATTATCTGTCTATCTATCTATCTACCTATCTACCTATCTATATATCTATCTACCTATCTAAATATCTATCTATCTGTCTCTCGTTTCTCTATCTGTCTACCTATCTGTCTACCTATCTATCTATCTATCCCTCTATCTATCGATCTCTCTTCTCTATCTATCTATAGATCTATCGATCTATCTACCTCTCTGTCTATCTATCTCTCTTTCTCTCTTTCTTCTCTTTTCATCTACCTATCTATTTATCGATACCTTTATCTATCTATCTATCTATCTCTCTCTCTCTATCGTTCTAGCCACTTTTCTTTTTCTCTATCCATCTATCTATCTAGTTCTCTGTTTATCTGTCTATCTATCCTTCTCCCTTTTCATGTACCTATCTATCTGTCTGTCTGTCTATCTGTCTATCTCTCTATCTGTCTACCTATCGACCTATCTATCTACATTTTTCTATCTATCTGTTTAATTGTTTCTATATCTATCTATCGATCAATCTATCTCTCTCTCTTTCGATCTATGTATCTTTCTTTTTATCTATCCATCGATCTATCTATTTGATTTTGTTCTTCTATATATCTGTCTTTCTCCCTTTTCATGTATCTATCTATCTGTCTGTTTATTTATCTATCTACCTATCTGTCTATCTGTCTATCTCTCTATCTACCTACCTATCTATCTTTTACCTATCCGTCTATTTATCTATCGATCTATGTCTTTCTCTTTTCATCTACCTATCCTCTTTATCTATCTATCTATTTTTCTATCTACCTATCTATATTTCTTTTTGTTTATTTTTCTGTTTATCTATCTACCTACCTATCTTTCTATCTCTCTATCTATCTCTCAATCTATCTACCTCTCTCTCCCTCTCTGCTTTTTATCTATCTGTCTATCTATCTATCCATCTCAATATCTATTTATCTATCCATCTATCTCTTTATCTATCTCTCTGTTTTTAAATATCTATCCATCTATCTATCTGTCTATCTATCTATCTGTCTGTCTGTCTATCTATCTATCTTTATCTGTCTATCTATCTATCTGTCTGTCTGTCTATCTATCTATCTATCTCTCTCTCCCTCTCTGTGCCTGAACTTGCGAAAGTGCTGCCCCTGCCACGAAATCTATATTTGACCTTGCGAAAGTGCTTCGCCTGCCACGAAATCTGTACTTGGCCTTGCGAAAGTGCTGCGCCTGCCACGAATTCTGTACTTGACCTTGCGAAAGTGCTGCGCTTGCCACAAAACCTGCACTTGCCCTTGCGAAAAAGCTGCACCTGCCACGAAATCTGCACTTGACCTTGCAAAAGTGCTGCGCCTGCCACGAAATATGCACCTGACCTTGCGAAAGTGCTGCGCCTGCCACGCAATTCAAACCTTGGGAAAACTTGACCTTGCGAAAGCGCTGCGCCTGCCACGAATTCTGCACACGACCTTGCCAAAATGCTGCGCCTGCCACGCAATTCAAACCTTGCGAAACCTCCGACCAGACGCCGCGGACAGGCGAGATTTCTTTCGCATCTCCGGAGACGCCAATTCACGCACAGGCCTGCCACACGCGCGCACATTTTTTCTCGCGGGCTTATTCCTGCTCTTGTCATTTTTCTCAGAGAGCTTGCTTTCAATTAGTTGCCGTAACACAGAAGTTCCTTCTAAACTTCCTTTGACAATAGCGCCATCAATCCGCAGGAAAAGGGACCATTGCGGGCCGCCAGCAAGGTATATAATCCATACAGTGGACACCAGGGACTTTCATCATACATCCAACATTGACATATTGGATACTCTTTGGAATAGATCCAGGGACCACAAAGAGACTGCTAGCACAATTGGTGCTCCCTCCTTTGGGATCGAGCAACCCCGGTTTGGGACTCACCCCCCCATCCCTCGCAAATGGGTGTTTGGGAAGCCAAAAGGATGTTGGGACCCGGTGGCGCCTTCATCACCGATCCGAGCGCCCCAAGCGGACAAGTACCAACAAAACGCCGACACACGTCATGGAAAAAGGCGCCTTTTTTGAAAAAGGACGAACGGGATTTTCCAGGTATGCGCGCCAAACTAATTCAGGCTGCGGCGCGAAAGTCCTAACCCCCTCAGCGGGCACAGTGTATCTAGATAGATAGATGTATATATATATATATACACACATATATATATATATACATATATATATATATATATATTTACATGGGTGTGTCTCGACACCAAAACGGTCGGTGTCCTCTGGGTTTCCCTTTAAACCAACATAACAAAGGGTACTCTTGAGAACATACAAGTCCATACAAACATGTGCATATGCATATATATATATATATATGAAAATACATCAGCATGGCACTCTGGCTGCTTGCGAAGGGAACTGTGCTCCATCCTTGGACTGAAAACTGAAGATTCCTGGGATTCCTGGGGAGTCTCCTGGAATCCCAACTAAGCTTATGTAATTAATAAAACCAAATACTACATTCCTGGCATTCCTGAAGCTAATTGGATCACACATCACCTGTCCACATGTGCAAGAAGCGCATGTAACAAGACATGGGCTTGTATGCTTCATACCGCATTATCGCGTGGCGCCGGTCCGGGGAACAAAGGGACCACATTCAACGTGTGGTAAGAAGCAAAGAGTCATAAGGTTGGGTTTTGGACGCAGCTTTGCATATGAGAAAACGCTGTTGGCCAATGGTGGAATTAGCTTCGCAGCAAGTCGATTCTTGGCTACGTGTACTACAAGTGAACTAAAACACGTGTGTGCTTGAGTTGCCACTTCGAAGACTACGCCACTATGCTGCAGCTTATGTCCTTTTCACCAACTAAGGGCAGCAAAGGAAAGTATTTGAAAAAGGGTCACTCCTTGGAATGGAACCGAGACCCCCTTTCCGTGCACTTGGGAGGGTGGGTCCCGACGTACTCAAAGAAGCACGCCACAAGAGGCCTAAGGCGGGTCTTTTATGCCACAGGGAGAAGTTCGGCCTAGCTCCACGGGGAAAAAGTTAAAAAAGGGGGGAGCTAATTCTGGGGAAGCAATCAGGGCGCTGGGGGTCCGGAATTCTCTGTCTCAAGAAGGGCCCATGGGGGAGCAGCACGAAACTTGAGGCCGGCACTCTCTCATTTGCTGCTCTATCGCTCGCTTCCTCTCCTATCCGATGCGGACCGATGCACTCTTCATCGCCGGAGAAATGGTTGAAGCCCCTGTTACCAAGGTAGGGGCTCGCCTTTTTTGGGGCTCAGTCCCCTTTTTTCTGGTGAGTCTTAGAGGGACACCAAAAGGAAACCCTGTCTTTTTTGAGGGTCCCCCTTTTCTGGGTTTCATTGGGACGCCAAAAGCAGCCAGTTTGGGGGGTCCGAATCCTAAACAAGACACCAGAGCCTCTGTAGCTCCAAAAACGCGCATATCTAAATTGCCAACAAAGAAGGAACATCATTGGATTCCAACCCAAGGAGGGAGGGCAGATTTGGATGGTTGGATCAAGGATCCAAGACCCAGTCCCACTGGAGGATCTCATGCGTAAGGTAGACTTCCCAATGTTGTTTCGTCGGATTTGTTTCATGGACACATCTCTGGCTCTATTTTTTACATTGTTTGTCGCGTTTCCCAGAATCTTTGGACCAATTTGGGTACGTGTGTACTCAAAATTGGGGAACCAAATTGGTCCAAATTGGTAACGATTCCTTGGGTACGTGTCTTTCCCCAGTTATTTGGTTCCCAAAGTTCAAAACTAAGGGCCAGCTTCGGAAACTGACCTTGAGGCTTCCCTTCGAGCCTTCGAGCAGCCGGTTGCTTGCTTCTAACTTTTGCCCAACTCTCCAGGTGCTTCACGGGAACCCCGGATGAAGTTCAACCCCGGGGTTGACTTTGACTTGACTTGGAAGTTGCTGCACCCAAAGGGCTTCATGTGTTCTCATGGAGGTCTTCCCTTGGCTTCCCTTTGGTTTCTCCTCGGCTAACCGTTTTTTTTTTCAAAATCTCCAATTGTTGGATTCAGACCACTTGTGGACACGCCCCAAACGAGTAGGACAGGCTTATTCTTCCGGGCTAACATTACGAGATGTACGACCCCTGAACCAGGGTATCATTTGCCATCTGCTGTCACCCAAGGTGCAACCAACCAACTTAGTCCCCGTGAACTATGAATCCCTAACCCCTTTACCAGAACAGAAGCGTTTCCACTCCTCAACCTACTTATTCATCCAGACCCTCAACCTGACCTTAACCTTATTCCAAACCCCAAGTGGCCGCGAGAAAAAAAGCCACTTAACGTGTTTTGTCCTTGGTTGGCTGATGTTAAAGGGGCCCACCCCCTCCAAAAGAACAGTTGATTCAAGAAGGCAACCCGCTGCAAAACCCCCAGCAAAAGGCCGCCAGAAAGGAAGCCTCATAGGGCCAGATGGGTTGTCTCACTAGGCTTACGATCACCACTTGGACGTACCGAAGTAGTTAGTTGTTGGCTTCTACACCTCATGGCCCATGGTCAGGGAAAAGCAACAAAAAACAAGCTGACCGAACTGCTGGAGTAGATCGGTCTCCGGACCAGTCGGCCCCTTCCGGTCGCTCCATTCGCTTCGCGCGGGTTCCAAGTACCTGACGTGCCAGCTGCCCCCTGAATTAAGTAGTCCATGTTGGCTTTTACACTCCCATGGCCAGGAAAAGAAAAAAACACGAGCCGCACGGGCGGTCCAAGAGATCGGTCCCCTGCTCGCTTCGCTCGCTTTGCGAAGGCTAAGGTTTCGCTTCGGGCCCCGTCCCGTCGCTCCGCCTGGCTCGGATCCTCCGGGCTGGGCCCCGCCTCCTCCTTGGACTTCTCCTGGGCCTCCGCCATGAGCCGAGTGGACAACTTCCGCTGCTCCTCCTGGCGGAAAGGCTCTGTGGATTTTTGTGTTTTTGTGGTTGAATTCTTGAAAAACACAAAATCCGAATCAATCTGGCAGGTGTGTACTTGGGTGGGAGTTAGAAATGATTTACACCCTGGCTAACTGCGCTGGGACTTCTCAGCAGCTTATAACCTTGGTTACTGACCACGTACTAATTTGGCGGAACACCCAAGAAGGGACCGGACCCCAAAGACACATCTAGGCAGGCGCCAGCGTGTCATTTGGCCAGCCCGTGCCGGTTTCTTGGTGTGACCTTTGTGAGGACACCTGTTTTGGTGGCGTCTGAAAGGACATCGAGCTCAACCCAGTTGCCTTTTTCCGGAATTCGAGCAGCGCGCATTTGAGCGCCCAAAACCCATTCTGGTTCTACCCCGGATAGACAGGTCTAACATGAGGCCTCTGTAGTGTAAATAAACCGCGCGTAAAACCCCGCTCTTCAAGATTTGGCATTCGGCACCAACTCCACACTGAACGGTGAAGCGGTCCAAGACTTGGCCCCGCATCTGGGGCACACAGAATTCGTTTCAGATTTGGTCTACCCAAACCCAGTGCGTCCAGCTACCATGGCTGGTGACCAGGAAAAACCATGCAGCAAACCTAGAGGTAAGTATCCCTCTACCCCAAAATATTGCTGTGACTCGAAATTGGCATTCAAACTGGAGCCCTGGTAAATGGAACCAAAACTAAAGCCTGCGGTTTTCTGGTGGTTTGATTTTGTCCCATACCTAGAAAAACCAGAAAAAACGACCCCCAAAAAACGGCCCCCAACCAGAAAATGAAGTTTTGGAGACAGAAAAACGGCCCGGAACAGGCAAGCCAAAGGTCTCCTTCTCCTTATCCGCCTGCCTCTCCTGCTCTGCCTAGGTAAGCCCAGGCGCTCTTCTCCCCCCCCCCCTCCCCTGCTGAGCTGAGCTGAAGGTCCAACCTTCCGTGGGTTTAATACCTGGTTGCTTTCTGCTCCCCTGCGGAAAGTGACTAACTTTTAGTGGTTTAATATCCCTTGGCAAAATGCACCATTGTTAAGATGCCCTTTGGGGATGGTGATGTTGTGGACTCTGGGTCGTTTCCCCCCCCTGTCACAGCCCCTGTCCAGTAGGTTTATTTCTTCATGGAAAAGCCCATGGATTTCTTAGAGGTGTTTCAGCGGCCGTTGAATTTGCAAAGACGAGCCATGGATCCTTCCGTCGTGAGTCAGTCAGCGAGTGTCCTCTAAAAGTCTGGGCTTCAGCCCCTAGCTCAGCCGGAGGAACCCCCAGCAACTTGAGGACCGCACGAGTCAGACGGACCCAGTTGGTTTGCACAGTTCCTTTCCGAAGCACAAAAAACAGCCCTGATTCGTACGGTCCTCCGGACGAATCCGAAGTCAACAATCGTTGGCACTGGCGAATGAGTAGAACGAACACGCGACAAATGTTCGTTCAAAGGACACCTATCACATAAACGCTTTGACAAATGATTGACACATTACAAAAAATACCAGGTTTCTTGACCCATCGTACCCCCTTACGCGGCCACCACGGCCTTCTCCAAACAACACTCAAAGGTCCGCGCAAGTTGCAAACACGGTCACATGGCATCATACCGAATCGATTTCCATCGACCGAGCCACAGACCTCTCCGAGCTCCAACCAGGCTACAAGCGGGTCCCGCGGGTGCTTTTTGAGACAGGGTCAACACTCCTCCCGCGTCAGCTGTACAAATTCCAAAGTCACATGGAAAAGTGTCCTTTTGAGGGACCTCCGAAAAAAATACGCGGGTTTTCCCATCGGTTTCCCTGGTTTCCCTTGACTACTATCCCAAAAGAAAAAGGGTACCTCGGAGAAAGACGGGCAGCATGGGCGACTGCAAGGTGTCGTACTTGGATTCCCGTCAGCGACCAAGAAAGACCAGGTCCCAAAGTCCAATTTGGACGCAAAAAAGGAGGCTGTATAGGCGAATGCAACTTCCATTCCCCATGTTTCAGTTTGTGGTTTGAACACTGAAGGGGACTAAAGGGGTGATTCCAACAAAAAGACACTAGTACCACCTAAGAGAGGTTCCAATTCTGCTGAAAAAGGCGCTGAACACCCAAAGAGATGTCGTTTGGATCTCCCCCCTCCTGGCGCAACCGTTGGCTCCACTCGCTGCTGCTTGCTCACTTACCGGCCGAAGTGGGCCTGAGATTCCTCGAGGGGTCTCAGCAAAACCGGATCCCTCCATTTGCTTAAGTCCCCTGGAAAACTAAAAAATACTTGCAGTAGTGATAGACATCCTTCAAAACCAACAGGGGAAAATACAAAATATTCTTAACCAAATGGAAGGATCCAAAAAGCGATAGGGGCCAAGGGAATTCCGATCTGGTGTCCTGTTAACAAATTTTAACGTGGTACTGGCAAAGGAGTGGAACGAAACTGAACACGACACACCAATGTTCACCCAAATATACCTAAAGCGGACCCGAATGCTTGCTTGGGTACGAGTTTTACTGAGCATGTTGGAAATGCTGTTGTCTGTTGATCATGCCGTAGTTTCGATCATCTCACAACTGCATGCTGGTTGTTTAGGCCCTATCATGTCCACCACGCTTCGGCATCTTTAGGGGTCCGAAATCATTCGGCTTCAGGGCGTTCCACTAAAACGTCTGGCGCCCAGCAACAATCGGAGACATACGCCTGCGCATGGGTGTGACTCAAAAATTGAAAGGGTTTGTTACAGGGAAATCTACAGGAAATGGCCCCAAAACACCCAAAATCAGCAGTTTTCCTTTAGAATTTCCTGTAACCCAACCCTTTCAAAATGGTTTCGGTGATCCTTTCGGCTTCCCTTTCTTTAAACCCAGCTCCCTTTGGGGAGCCACGCAGAAGGCAAGTAAAAGGGATGGCTTGTAGGTACTTGGGTGTTCGATCCGCCCAGTCAGTAATTAAGTTGAAACGGTAACCCTTCGGTTACAAATCCGCCCCCTTCAGTGGGGTTAACCTTCATATAGGGTGAAAAACAAATACCAACAAAAAAAAAGTGGGGGTTGTAAGAACACCCCATACCCTTTTAATTGAGCCTCAACACCGTTATCGATTGTTTTCTTCCTTATCGTTCTGGCGTTCCGCACATGCACCTCCCCTCTGGAAGCCTTACCTCGCGTAAAGGCGCGGCTTTTTTTTTCACACAAGTGGCGATCACCACATGCTCGGCGCATCGAAGATCCAGGGCCTCCAGATTTGAGAGGTTAGAATAAGTGGGTAACCGTTTTTTTTCCCTGTTTGGTCTATTTTAGTAGGGGAACCGAATCTCCCAACCAGAAAGGGGACAGAAAGGTTGCACCAATTGCTGGGGGGCCTAGTCCAAGTACCCAGCATCCGTGGCCTGTGGTCCCCGGCCCGTTTCTCTCGGAGCTTTTGCTGCAGCTCAAGAGCCTTGGCCTCCGCCTCCTCCTTGCCTCAGTTGATCAACCGGTTGGGTGTCTCTGAGCAACCCCAATGGTGAGAGAGTTACCATTTCATGGCTCACATGCCTTGCCGCTTTAGATGAAATGCACATCTCAGTGCAAAGCGCAAGGAGCATGAGATGGGGCTGCTTTGGCAGGTCCAATAAAGCGCCTGCCAACTGCAGGAGTGCAGGGCGGGAGGGAGGCGAATCCAGAACCTTCAGCCACATGCGTGAATACTGTTTGCAATATGCGTGTTTCGACTTTTCAAAAAGTAGTTCGAACAAAGGTGTTGTTGCAGATTCGGAGCGATATCTGCCCACAGCGCAAAGATTTCGCCCGACATAGTTGCCCGAAACACGATTCAAAACCACTTTCAAAACATGTCCAAATTTGGGTGCAAACCAAATTGTCTAAGCTGTGGCCTCCCAAAGCACTTTCGGCGAACAACAACTTCTTCACAAAGCGTTATCGGCTTCTGGACCCGTTCTGGCATGGCAAAAGAAAGCGCAAGCAGAGAGTGACAGCCCAGCTGGTTGTCTTGATAAACTTGGCAAACGCAGCCCTCCCAGGCACTCAACCAGCACCGCGAGCCACAAAAGCTTATACTTTCTGCGTGTCACATGTCCTTCCTCAGATTAAACTCTTCCGAAGCCACACGCAAGCTTGCGCGGTGCGTACCATCGACTTTGCGGCCGCGCTGTCTCGCCATCTTCAGTTTGGGACACCGGCCAACCTTCGCCCAGTCTGCCCAATGAGACTGACTTGCGGGGGCATGGTTGCAAACTCAAACACCTTGAAGGTGCACGACCTGGCCGTGTATGGGAAATGACCGAATGTAACAAAAACCGGAGGGCAGCCAAGAAAAGGTCACAACCCTTGGTATGGTTGCAAAAACGCAGTTTTCTGCAGCCCGCGACTAACAATGAACAGAACCAACAAAAAACACTTGCCAAGCACAGTGAAGAAAACGTCCAAGGTCGATTCGCTTGCACGTCCTTGCCAAGCAGCTCATTTTGGGCTTCGGCGGAGGCGGCTTCAGCAGGGGCAGGTCGATGTCAGCATCATCCGCGTGCTCGGTGAGCCAGTTGATCTGATGGGTTTGTTCACAAGAGTTGTGCGAGTGGATCAGAATATCTCCCCAGGAGGGAACCTCATATGGTGTTAGTTGCCTGTTAGCTTCCCTTGGATTCTCCAAAAAACACCCATCCAAAAATGTGGGCTCAGGTATCAGAAACAAGGTAATTCTGCCCATATGCACCATGCATACGCCAAAAAACCCTTCATAACTTGGCAAGCTTTCCATTGCTTCCTGGAACTCGATCAAACTCAGGCCCCAATCTGCACGACTTCAGGCAATTGCCTGTCTTTTGAGGAAGCCAATGGAGGAATCCCCCAGTCGACCCCATCATTCTTCGGATACGATAATTGGGTGGGGGGAAAGGAGGGGGTCAACAACACATATTGGAAAGGAAAAAAAGGAACCCTAGAGTCCCTTGGTTTTTTTCCAACTGGCTAAAGTTCCAGCCTTTCAAAGGCTCCTCTTTGCTGCGGGGCTAGTAAAAAAACATTCACCGGTTCTTCTTTCAATCAAGCTCCAAAGAGGGTACACAAAAAAAACCGGCGGCTCCCCCCACTCGTCCATCTTTCGAATCGGAAAGACCACACAGCGCTCAAAGACCTGCGGCTGCCAAGGCACGGCATACTCCAAGCCGGCGTTGTCTGTCTTGTACAGGGCCTCGGTTCGGCGTCTCCAAGGCTTCGGCGTCCAAAGGTGGGTGCCGCTGACTTCCCTTGTCCATAACTTCCATTTGGTTAAGGCCCCTGGACAAAAAAAACATAGGTCCAGTAGTGATAACTTCCTTTCAAAACCAACAAGGGAAAAGACAAACATATTCTTAAGCAAATGGAAGATTAGGGCAAAGCATAGCTTGGCAGTGACCCAAATCACAAGCACCCCTACAGGATCTGTTTAAACTAAACTAGCAAACACCCACCAAAAATAGTCAAGCATTTGTCTCGCGTTTAGTGAATTGCCAGGTGACAGGGGAAGGGCGTGCCCTTGTTTAGATACTAGTGTGGAACCGTTGGCTTGCTGATACTTCTGTCAAGAGTCACCTCAGTTGGCTGCAAGGAATGGGTATGTTGGCTGAAAGAGTGATGGTTAAAACGACAAGCGGAACCTCGAATAAGAGTCTGAAGAGGGAGTCGACAGGAATCCCTAAACCAGAACTAAGTCCTGCGTCGGTTACAGTGGCGGAAAGTTCAGATCTTACCGACCTCAAGTTTGCTTTGAAGGCCCTGGCACTGATCCAAGGCGAGTGGTTTGTCCTGTGCTTCTGGGGATCGGAGCAACTCTAGGTTGTTTCTCATGAGCAACCTCCAGTTGCGTTGTTGCCTGGAAAAGCCAAGCATACTTTACGGTAGTCGCAGATTCCCCCGTAAAACCAAACAACAACAAGCCCATGGAAGCCAGGAAAGCAAAACAGGCGCCAAGGTGTTTTCAGCAAATCGGGCAGACTCACGCGAGCTGGACCAATTGCAGGACACCTTTGCGTATGGATACTAGGTCCTCCAGACTTGAGAGCTTAGAATAAAGGTACCAACTTGTTTTGTCTATTTTGGTAGGGGAACCCTCCCCCAAAAAAGGGTAAAAGCACCACTGGGGGACCTAGGATAGGTACAAGTTCCAACTTGACCTGACAATCGCTAACGACTTTTTGGAACCAAAAGATCAGAAGTCACTGGATTTCGACAAAAGAAAAGTTGATCAATTAACTGGTGGTTTCCATTGAAACAACCGCCACTTTCGGAGGCTCCCAGAACGGCAAATGGACGAAACCCTGAAGATTGGTGACCGAAATTGGAACTGGCTCTTCCACCTCGTTTCGCTTCCTAGGGCCAAAGACTTGAATGGAACCAAACAGAGGGTTCGCAAAAGGAGACTCCTCAAACAAGATGTTCCAATATGTCCCAGCTTTTGCCCTCAACCAAACATCATATGTTGACTTCCGGTTCATGTTTAGTGATACATTGCATTCATGGATTGAACACCTATGGGCATTCCCCACTCGAATCTTGTCAACTAGGTCCCCCAGTAGTTCCTTTTTACCCTTTTTTGGGGAGGGTTCCCCTACTAAAATAGACCACAGAAAAAGCTGGTACCCTTATTCTAACCTCTCAAATCTGGAGGACCTAGTCAACCCCTCCCGGGCCAATGTGTTCCTCCCCCGAAATCCGCTCGATTCCATCGAGTGGCTTTCTCCGCCCGAACCTCGGAGAAGCCCATCTCCAAGACCTGCTGCAGCAAGTCCTGCCTCACCTTCTCCTGGCAACGAGAGTAGGTCCTCCACATTTGAGAGGTTAGAATAACGGTACCAACTTTTTTCTGTGGTCTATTTTAGTAGGGGAACCCTCTTGCAACCAAAAAAGGAGAGAGAAGGGCACCACTTGGGGACCTAGGAAAAGAAGTTTTGCTCGCGTGTCCCAGGTACCTGGAGGTAAAAGGTGATCACCTTTTGGATCAATGACTAAATATGGACCAAAAACGAGAAACCAAAAGGTCAAAAGTCGACTTTGGACAAGTACGCTTGGTTTGCAGTTGGGTAAAGTAGACACATAGGACCCCAAGCGAAGGGGTACTATACCTTACCTGGGGAGAATGTACACCAGTAATCACATACTTGTACCTGTACCTGCACTCATAGCCCGAAAGTAGATGCTGCACCGAGTTCCTGGTTTACCTTTCCACCCCTTGTTTTCGCTTTTTCACCGGATGTGTATGCTTCCACTAGACCTCCGCCGGATTTTCGGAAAAAAGGGCGCCCTCTGGTGGTTGATGGTCAAGGGCTTCGCCCCCTCTGCAATTGAAGAGATAGAACTCATCCAAAAAGGCATCTCCCGAAAGGAGATCCTTATTCCTCGCTGGTGCTCAGCAGGGAGATTGAGGGAATGCCCAACACCCGGTGCGGTTCATTCCCTACCAACAAATCTTTCAAAGGATTTTTGTCAGGTCACCTCAAAGGCGGCAAAGGCTAAAATGGGACTGGAGACAACAAGCCGGCCACAAGCCGGCCACCCACTTCATCAAGCAGTCTCGTAGAATTGGTAAGTTCGTGTTCAAGTCTAAGTTTAAGTCCGATTTCTCCGACGGTTCGTCGAATACTCCTGAAAATGTGTTGTGGGATTCCACAAGAACTGAAAGGGCGCAGGTGTTGGTCGTTGACTTTGAGGATACCCCCCCTAGAAAAAGAGAAAAACAAAGGCCAAAAAAGCACCCATGTAGGGGTGTCGAAGCACCCGAGAGGTCGGATTCCCTTGGCCCAAGAGATGGTTAAACCATCACATTGGAGATGTGGGCTCAGGGAAAGCCACAGTTTGCAGCCCACCAAAGAAGAAATGCGGTTTGGGGCTGCGGCCATTTTTTTCGGGGGTCTATGCAGGGTTCAAAAGGACCACAGAGCGGCTGCTTTAAAGAGTAGAACCCCCGCGCCTTGATCTCCGGAGGATTGGGATCGCCCACTTTGCGGTCGTCCACCACTGGGGTCATGTCTACATCGTCCTCCCCCGTCATGGCCTCGGTTGCCGGACAAAACGTGAACGCGAAATGCGGGCTTTAGGGGGGCGGGGTCTGGATGTTTGTTGGTCTTTGGTGTTTTTTTCCCGTCGCTAGGAGGAGCTCCGGAATACCCATCCTGGTGGTTTACCTGCAAATTTAAGTGCATGGGCTATGAGCAGCTAGGGTGGATCTTGCCGATTGAACTAAAAAAAGAGCCTCCAGGACCTCCGTCAAAAAAGCTTCCAAGGGAACCCTTCCAGAAAAGTGGGGGCTAGTGTCTCGGAACCTGAGTTGACTCTACACGGGTGTTTCTCAGAGGAATCCCTACAATGGTTGGTTCCAAATTGCTTTCCCTGTAAACACCAACCAAGAGGAGGTCCATTTTGAGTTTGCAGAACAAGTTTCGCTTGGGCTCGTAAAGAGAAGCGCAAGACAGGAGCGCACATGTTCGTTGTCAGGCCGCGGCAAGTTGACCCTGGAACCACGCTGCATCACATAGGCGTTCCTCCAAATCGGATACCCTGTCAAGGGGGCTAATTATGAAGTCTCGGTTCCCAACTTAAAAGTCCCAAAGCTTGGCGACTGTGAGTTCTTAAATGAAGCAGAGGGAACGGGGCCAAATGACCATACACATAGGCGTCTCATTCTTTTGCGGGCACCCTTCTGGGGAATGGTTTTAAATTGTGGAAACTTGGCTTGGAGCACAACAATGGGCAAAATCATCAGAACCGTAAAGCAATTCTCAGCCATGATCGACACTACTCTGCCTAAACGAAACGACCTCAGCTTCGAACGTTTCGGATCCGGACCAGCTCGGAAAGCAGCCACAATCAACCCACGTCGAGTCGCTCTGGTCGCAACTGAGCTACGGGAATTCAGCCACTACCGGTCTTAGCACCCGCGGTTGCCCCTGTTTGGACCCACACCTGTTGGAGTGGCTGTGTGTATTCAAATAAAAGACCCCCTGGGTGTTGTTGCGCGCCTGACACGCTCGAATTTCCAGATCTTCCTGTTGGCCTGGTTCAAATGTATCTTGTGTGTCAGCTCCATGTCTTCAAAAACGAAGCCTTCCCAAAACCCACTTTCTGAGTGGATGGGATAAAAACGAGTCCGCATGTTCTGTTTACCCCTAAATGGTCCAAACCCAAAAAAGTGACTAAAGTCCAGGAACTCGAGAAGTGAGAAAAACCATGAACAACACTGCCCAAAGGAAGTGGCAAAAACAAACAAAAAAACATGAAACAAAACGAAACTGCCCAAAGGTGTTGCTCCCAAAAGCCTTCCTCACGCATCCCAGCCAGCCAAGCCAAGGCGTCTTCTTTCTCGCCCGGTTTCCTCGGGGTTCATTGTGCCGACGCATCCGTGGCAAAACGGCCCTGCATGTAGCGACTGACCGAGTTATGCTTTGGGAAGGGCATGCGGGGGCCAGCCCAATGTCTACCACAAAAACATGAGGTTCACCCAATCTTGCCATGTTTTGTTGAGGGAGCGTTGGCAATTTTCGCCATGGGCTCATGCGCCTAAACTGAATGACCGAGTTGCGACATCTCCTCCACCTGCACAGGCGCAGGCACAGGTTTTGTACCAGTGTACCCAAAGTCCAGTCACCCACTTCTTCTCAACTGGGTCCAATCAAGTAAACCTGGCGGTTTCCCCTTAAAAACGGGGGAGCATTTTTGAGGGTGTCATTTTGAATGCACATAGTTCACAGATCCTGTAGGTGGCACATTTTTTTGTACGGAGGATGGTGCCATCTTCATGAAACTTGAATACATACTTCGTGATTGGCATGTAAGGGGAGCCATGACCAAACATGAACCAAACCCAGAAAACCTGTTGATTGGCCGAACCGGCTTGTGGCACTCAAAGAGTTCCCCTGGAAGTTCACACATTTAATGTGCCGACCAGCGTGCAGTGGCAGTGTTCCGTTTCGTTTGTCACGGATTAGTCTGAACATGATGTATCTACCAATCATGACAATGTCCAGAAACTCGAACAGGATTCAACCGATTGAACAACAAACACAACCTAAGAAAGTTGAACAGGGCTGGGAAAAGACCATGCCAGTCCTGTGTCAACATTGTGCCATGTATCCTTTACTTAGTTCAGCAAGTGTGTATGCGCCTGTATTTGTCTTTGGAAGTATGAACACATCTATCCACTAAACTACTCCTTATTCTCCATGGTTTGGTTGCCATCTCCTTCAAGGGACCAGACACTGGTGGGAGCCATGTTGCGTTGGGAGATAAAGTATCCAACACCTGAGTCATAGAAGGAATCGCGGTTACTCCAACAAACCTCAATGGAGGGGTTGTCCAATTCTCGAGGGGTTACCCCTAAAGGAACGAGAGGTGTTCCCCAAAAAAGTGATCAGGATCCATCTCAACTGAAGCCTCCAATCAGAAAGCCAGCTGGGTACGACTTCATCCTTGTTCTCTTAATATGAGTCAGAATGGTATTAATATCTGGGCTGTCCGCAGATCCCCTGCTTAAACAATGACTCTTAGTGGGTTAAATGAAAACCCAACCACCAAGCCAACTCAAAACAACTAAAAACCTACTGAACCGCCACCAGCCAATAGCTCTGCCAAAAAAAAAACGTGGAAACCGAACAAAAATCAGGGGCGGATCTCCGCCTTTTCTTTTTGGGCGACTGGTGGCTCGCATGGGTAGCTCGTCTTTTGTGAGTTGGTACTCCCTGTTTTGGTGGGTTTAAAAGGCGAGACGAAAGGGAAAGCCCGAAGCCTTTTTTGGGTTGTTCCCTAAAACAGAGACATGGCATGCACAGCAAGTTTCTATCCCGAAATCCATCCATGCATGCTCACATGGAAGGCATGGGTTGCGCCACAGGGAAAAACAACACGAAATCACCAAGCTAGCAACAAATCGTGCGTCAACTTTTGGGCTTGGAGGCCTCCTGTGGGCGTCAACGCCCCCATTCAAAAATATTCAAATATAGAAAAACCACTATTTTGCAATGTAATTGGTACATTGAATAATAATTTAACGAGTTATAAAATAGCTAATTTTCAATTCAACAATCCACCCAAAGAGAAGCTCCCGATCGTCCCAGCCTAAGGATGCAAGAGCCTCCTCGACGAAATCGTCGGGCAGCTTGTCCTTCGGCGGACATGACGAAAAAATATTTTCTCTAAGAAAGTGATCTACCTCGGCTGCTTTCTGCTCCCCTGCTAAAAGTTTAACTTTTGGTGGTTTAGTGGAAAACCCATTAGTTGGCAAAAAGTTAAAGTCCTAACATCCCTTGGCAAAATGCACCAAAGCTACTAGGTGGGGTTGTGGCTTCCACCATCTTACTTGGATGTTCAAGCTAGTTGAGGGAAAAAGGCGGTGGTTGCTATTCATCGGGGTTGGTCCCCTTATAACCACTGGCTCCAGCAAAAAGGTTGGAATAAGGGTACCCGTTTTTTCTTCTTCTTGTTTTCTTCTTTTTTTTCCGTAGTCTATTTTAGTAGGCGAACCCTCAACCCAAAAAACAAGTAGAGAATGGCAATAGTGGGGGACCTAGTTTATTAAGGCGGCTAACATAGAATAGGGTTTGTGGGGTACTTTGACTAACCTGTCATGTTGTCCCTAAGAAACGATCTACTTTCAGGTGGGTGAATTAGAGGATGGGGGTACTTTTCAATCCAAGCTTCGCCATGAATTATAGGCATCAACCATCCTTTTCTTTCACCCCCCACCACCACACCTTCAAACATCCACCAGCTCGGAAGCCTCAAGAAGGCCCAAGTTGGGCCGCTGCTGAATCCATCCGATCTCAAAACCAACATGTAGCAACCCAGAATGCAAACACAGCTCCCCCGGGGGTTTGCCAAAACCAACTCATCAAGGCCAAATCAACCCCAGAAACCCCTTCCTAACCATGGAGATGTCTGGTCGACCCTCCCCCCAATAAACCTATCTTCAAGGGAGCCAGCGGAGATCCAAAACATGGTTTTTCAACTACATGCCCTCCTCCCGACGTTTGACGTGGAACCACCCAGAACCCAACAGGGCCAACAAGGATGATCAACCCATCGGCTGGTTTGAGCAAGCTCCCTTTAAGGCGTCCAGATCCCAAAAAGCCACTGAAGGGCATAAAATCCCACAGATCCGATGCCCCCCGCCCCCTCGCCCAATCAACCTACTTTGGGGGACCGAAAAAACAAAGCGCCTTCTTAGAAAAGCCCACTGTTTTTGAAATTTAGCGGCTTTGCGGCTTATCCCAAAATATTCCCCCTCCAAAGCAGAGCCTTTGTTCTCCTTCGGCTTTCCTTTGCAGCCCAAAAAACACCACCCTCAACAAACGGACTATCCCGACTGTGGACAAAATCCTGCACCAGTTTGCATGAATGAACTCCTATGAATATTGGGAAACATTACCAACCCCAACTGGTGCGAGTCGTGGAGCTCGTCCATGGCCGTATCGTTCTGGGAAAACCGAACTGGCCCGACAAGTTCGCTATCAAAGTCACCCCTAAAGTGTTAGGTAGGGAAACCACCAACCAGTGTCTGACTGTAATATCGCCCACAAATCGTCAAAATGGGTGTTTCTCCAAGGGGCCCTCCGGGTGCTCGGCTTCCTTTTGGCTCCCCTGAAAAATGGGCTACTTTTTCGTTTGAGACACACACCAAAGAATGACCCCAGTGAAAAACCAAGTAGTCAAACTCCCCTTTAAGGGGTCCCCGAATTTGAGACAAATGAAAATGACCCCAGCGAAAAAAGCAACCTCCGAACGACCAAACAAAAATGCCTGACCCGACCGAGGTGCGAGGTCTGGGCCGCTGTTCTCTGCGATCCAAGCCTCCGGGAGCCCAATTCCAACCCTGGACGCCCACCCTAACCGGCCGGGACCTAAAAACAAAAAGGTGATCACCTTTGGGGTCCGTGACTTTGGACCAAAACTGGAAAACCAAAAAGGCTATCTCAGTTTCAGGTCGATTCGCTTTTGAGCTCGAAGAAGGTGGTTGCAAAGACCCACTTGTCTGAGGGATCGGAACTCCTTTGGTTGGTGCGCCTTTGGTGCCGATGTTCAAAAGCCGACCGGGTAAACAAAAAGAAAAGAAAAACAACTTGACCAAATCCCAAAGGTGACCAATTCCAAACCACAGGGTAGCCTTGGAACAATGGCTTGTGCAGGGCGTTGCTTTGCTTGGCTCCCGTCGCCGACTGTACGCCGAAGACTATGCCCACTGGAGCCCTCCCCGCGGGGTCGCAGTGTCACAGGCCGATGGAGCCCCTTGCATCGCGTTTTTTGGGTACGGGTCAAAATTGGTCACCACCAGGATATGGACCGCAGGTTTTAGTCCTTTCCATTTGGGCAAGCCATTTGAGGGTTACCCTATTTTTGACCCACCATATCCCTAAGCCAACAGAAAGACAGCCAACATAGTTGGACAAACCGAAGTCTCTCAGGGTTCCTCACGTTCCCAGCCAACAACCTCTGTGTGGAAGTCTGTTTCATGATGAAAAGTCCCGAGGCCTATCTCAAGGCGGTCTTCGAAACTCGTATGGTTACACTAGCAAATGGCACCTGGCCCTGTATGTGGGCAAGTCAGGGGGATGACTAACCCAAAATTGGGATGTGCCATCGACTTTCGCCCAACTGCATGTCAAACAAACACATGCAGGATTGACTTGTCTTCCTGTTTCCAACTTAAACACGACCCACCAACAGAAAACTGGTCAAAAAGTGGCAACCTTAAGGTGATGTGGGGTGAAATATAGGAATCCACTCGACTCGAACGTGACTCGATTCGCTCGTTTTCGCCGCCTCAGCCGCCTCGATGGTGCCCTTGTCGCGGGTGAAGTGCAGAGCTTTGGCGGACCGGTTCTTCCCCAGATTCTTCGCCTGGGACGTTGTTCGTTTTTCCCTTGTTTTGTCTTCTTTTTTTGATTTTGGTGTGTTTTCTTTTTTAACAAAAAAAAAGAAGGAAAAACTGATTCTTAGCCGCCCCCTCCTCCCGAAAACACTTTTTACGAAAAAGGAAGAAGCCCTCAAAAATGGCGGTTGGATGCAAGTACGTGACAAGATCTCCACCAAAGAACTTACGGTTCGAGTGTTGCTCCCATTCAAGCCGATTGTCACAGCTAGCATTTGGTCCCAGAAAAAGTTAAAAGGAAAGCAGGGGCCCACACCCATTGTCTACCAAGCACTTTTCATGGAGCAAGCAGCGGGGGTTGCCCCATCAAATCGCTTCTTTGGACCCCCCGAGGCCTTGTTCCACATGCGGGTGAGGCAAGTGGAGTCAAAACTTGCTGCTTCTCACGGAATGAGAAATGGAATGACCCAACAAAAAACATCCCCTATGGTTTCCTTTAAGGTGCATCCCCAAACCCTGGGCCATTCCCGACTGAGCAGCAAGAAAAGGCTGGTTGCCTTTGCAGGCACGGCAATATCCCCGAACGGACCTCAATACCCAGGCTAAATAGTAGAACGCATTCATTTGCCCCCAAACACAAGGATGGATTTCTAATGCCAAATAGCCAGAGAGTCCAATTTTGAGCCCCGCCCCCCACTGCTGTACATCGTGTCTAAAAGGTTCCAATCAAAGTTCATACCCCTATTGGTCTGTGTCAACATGGAGGCAGTCAACATTTGGCCGGGTTCGGTTCGATGTCTCTCTTTTCAAACAAACAGACACCGCCCTGTCTAAATAAAAGCTACTGTTCTCCAAGGATTGCAGCAAAATACAAAGAGACATAGAACACAAGTGCACAGCCAGCCCTCAAAGTAAAGCAGTGATGAGCAAAACTGTGTTTGTGGGACCCATGCAGCATGTCATGCCCGTTGCAACTAGCGGTTGTGGCAAGGCCCCTGAGTCCCCAAATGGAGCCCCCACTTGACACCTGCGAAGCGTGACTCCTGTCATCCACTTTGCCACACCAGAGAATGGCAAGTATTGACTCCGAGTACTGCCCGTTCTTCAGGTAGGGCTGCGTGCAAGGGAGAACATTCACCAAACTAATGACGAAGTGTCCCTATTCCCTGCTAGTGTTGCCTCTTCTTCTACTACCCAAGTGGGTAAGCAACTCTGGGCAAGAAGACCGGGTCCATTAATGTGAGAGCCTCAACATGACCCTCTAAACTTTGAATGATGGCTGAAAGGGAAACCAATGAAAGGACATTGTCAGAACCTCTCAAAAGTTTCAGAAGGGGCCCGGGCAAAGGAAACAATCCTGTGTGGATCCCACTTAACCTTTTGCAGGCCAGCCACCGTCCTTTCACTTACTGCTGTCCAGGTTTTAGTCCCCTTCTCTTGGACGAAAGGAGGTCGGCTAAACCTAGTGCTTGTGCCACGATACACAAGGGGTAGGCCCAACTTTGCTTCTTCTTGCTAGACTTTTGCCTGCCCTGAAATGCCCTTTTGGGTGTTCTTCATTCACCCTTGAACCCGCAACAGGATTGCATTTTTTCATGTCTTGTTGGTTGGAGATACACTACGCCTAGTGATTCCATTCCCCTGGAACAGGTATCGCACCTGCAACTCAAAAGGTATGCCTCAGAATAGGACGAACCTCTCTAGGCTGCCCTCAGATCCGCTGCTAAAAGTTTAACTTTTAGTGGGTTAAATGGAAACTACCACTAAACCCTAAAAGCCTAAAAGGCTAAGGGGGCGGCTGGCCACCAAGCTCTATCACAATTTGCAATTTTCCTGTTTCTTTCATGTTCCTTTCAACCAACCCGCAAAAGGCTACGGTCGCCCACCAAAACAAACCCACCCGATCGACGCGTCGCCGAGACCATCAGCGCCAACTTCTTCGCGTCCACCGAGGCGAAGAACTTCTCCTAGCGATTCGGCGCTCGAGCGAGAGACGGCCTCTCGGTGGCGAAATCTGCGCAGCCCTGCGAAAAGTGAATAACTTTTGGTGGTTTAACGGAAAACACGCCAGTTGGCAAACAGCTAGAGTCCTAACATCCCTTGGCAAAATGCAGCAAAGCCCTTGCTTTCTGGGCATATCCCTTGAAACCCACCGGGCTGCGCAGGAACGTGTGCACTCACATGTGCGGGAGAAACAACGAGCCATAGGTCCGGGATGCTTATTTAGGCTAAACGGACACCCATCCACCAAACGCTAAAACGCCAAGATGCTAAAAAATGCTCAGGGACCGGGTGGCTGGGGGCCTCCAGGGTGGTGGGGTCATCCGCGCATTCAATCTTGGAGTCATTCGCGCATTCAATCCCGCAGGGTCATCTGCGCACGCAATCTTGGAGTCATTCGCGCATTCAATCCCGGAAGTGCCCACCACAGCAGAGGGTTTGGGGGTTGGGGTTTGGGTTTGGGGTTGGCTTACATCACTTTAGGTTTTTGGGTTTGGGGTTTAGGCTTTTGGGTTTGGCTTTAGGATTTAGCCTTTTGGGCTTGGCTCGCATCACTTTAGGTTTTAGGTTACTGTAGGGTTTAGGCTTTTGGGTTTGGCTTTAGGATTTAGGCTTTTGGTCTTGGCTCGTATCACTGTAGGTTTTAGGGTTCTGGATTTGGGCTTAGGGTTTAGGCTCTTGGGTTTGGCTTGCATCACTTTAGGTTTTAGGTTACTGTACGTTTCAGGGTTCTGGGTTTGGTTTTAAGGTTTAGGCTTTTGGGTTTGGCTCACATCACTCTATAGGTTTTAGGGTCACGCGTAGGATGCTTTACAAGGGTTGTCTAAAAGCCCTATTACAAGATTGACGCTCGTCCCTACCAGCCCCAAGTAAAACGGAGACATGTCAATTTGACCCGCTCCAATTTTTCAAGCAAGGCTTACCTGCAGAAAGACCGCCAAACGTCTCTGCTTGTCAGAGGCCAGATCCCAAAGCTCCAGTGGACACAGAAACAACGCCGCCCCCTTGTTGGGGTCGTCTCCAAAACAGGCTTTGAAACCCCAAAGCAGCCCTCGAAATAGCAACAAATCAACCTGCAGTGCATTTTGCTCTAACGACCTCCAGCTACTTCCAGAACCAGGCCATGCCAGCAAATCCAACAGCAGCAGTCTCCAATGACCGACCTACAAACGTCGCAGCTCGACCACTTTTCTTGGGCATGGCTGAGTCTTAGGTTTGGCCACTTTGTGACTCTCGCCACTTTACTGCGACTTGTAGGCCGCCGCGTATGCCTGCAAGCGGTTCATACACGTCTGCATGGCCTCGGCCCATGTTAAGCGACTCGAGGTGTCGATGCCGCGCGGTAACGCCTGCAGGGCCAATGTCTAAAACCTAAAGCTGTCGTACTTTCAAGCATGTTTGATATTCCTGTTTCCCTTGTTGTTTTTTTCAACTCCCCCCCGCCCCACCCCAAACTAAATGCTAACATCGCCAAACAGAGAGGGAGTTTGAAGACAGGACCCTAGTAGCAGCCCGCGCATTCTTGGCCTGCCTCCCGCACCACGCTGTCTGGCAGGAACCCAAAGCGTGCTTGCACGGTCTTGATCTGCCGGCATCTCTTGCGGCGCCACGCAGACTCCGTGCTGACCTCGAGCCACTCATCCCAATCTGCGCCGTCCATGGCTTTCTAGACTTGCGCCACTTGCTGCGGCAAAAGTTTTGAGTCGCAGTCCAAGCCACGCATGAGTTGGTAGCTGCTGCGCCACTCAAGGGCTCTAAGCGGCAACTTGTCAGCGCGCGTGCTTTTCGGCTCTTCTAGGCGCAACGTGATTGGACTGGTTTGAATTTCAATGTCCGTGCAAAACACAGCATCCGGGCAAATTTCACGGAATCACTGTCTTGGCTGCATGCAGCCGGGTGCAAATAAGAAATGCATCCAAGCAAATTACATGGACTCACTGTCTTGGCCGACTTCATCTGTGTCATCTGGACAACTCAGTACACGGGGCTGTCGTGGCTGCCTTCATCTTCAGACTGTGACAGGAGCGCGTCATGAAACTCGTCTTCAGACATGAGCGTATCATCTTGGCGACCTGCAGACAGGAGAGCATCGTTCTGGCTTTGGGCAAGCTTCGTTAAGAGCTTTTGCACCTGCTCCATGGTGTCGCCCACTGCTCTGGCGCACTTGTTTGTAGCGCGCGCGGCAAACCGCGCGCAAAACAGCTCGCCCAGCTGCGCCCTAGAGCCAGCGAGATCTTGCCACGGCATGCCATTGCCGACGACGCGGTCCGTATCGGAGACGAGGTTCTCCAGCAGCGCCCACAACTCATGCGGATACAAATCGGCAAAATGCAGCGGGGCAAACAGGCGGACCCGCCGATGCAGGGCGGACTCATCGGCGCCATCATCCACCAGGGCGCGCAAGGCCAGCAGCCACCCGAGGGCGACGGCCATGTTGGCGGTGCCTGTTTCTTGACAAGGCATTGCCGCTGAGCCACTGTTTGCCTGAGCAGCAAAAAGCTACGACGCGGCGATGCATCTTCAGCACGCACTGTCCTCTTGACGGAGCAAGACTGAAGCTGCAGGGTGCGCTTCCTTACCAAGCGAACATCCACACAAGGACCCATGAAGTCACATACCGGATTTAGGGGGGGGTCTTTCCCCAAAAGCTTCCCCAAAACTTTTTATTGGGGCTGAGGTGGAAAGGGCCTTGCTTCTGGCACGCTCAAAGGTCAGGCTCTGCAAGCTGCTTGGCCAATCCATTCACAATGCCGGATTTAGGGGGGGGTCTTTCCCCAAAAGCTTCCCCAAAAGGTTCTCCAAAACTTTTGATTGGGGCTGAGGCTTCTGGCACGCTCAAAGGTCAGGCTCTGCAAGCTGCTTGGCCAATCCATTCACAATGCCGGATTTAGGGGGGGTCTTTCCCCAAAAGCTTCCCCAATTGGTTTCCCCAAACTTTTGATTGGGGCTGAGGCTTCTGGCACGCTCAAAGGTCAGGCTCTGTTATGCATCTGTTATGCTCGAGGACAGTGGCCTGGGTCTCATGAGCTCTCACGCAAAAGGTTGCGCAGGGCAGCGCGCGACACTTGTCGCCACTCAGCCAGTATGTCCTGGCAGGAAGCACAGCCACTTCGTGCAGGGGCATTGGACGACCATGGCTGAGGCCGTTTTCAGGACCCAGGCACTGAGCCAGTAGTTCGATTCCACGGTTGAATGGGATATTACCAGTACAGCCGGCGAAGCCGGTGCGCGGAAGTTTCTAAAAATATAGCAACTATAGGAGTGGATTGCTTCTGTCTTCTTTTCTCTCCTTGTGTTCCTCTCTTCTCTCCTTGTTTTCCGCTCTTCTCTTCTCTTCTCTTCTCTGCTCTTCCCTTTTCACTCTGCTCTTCTCTCTTCTCTTCTCTCTGCTCTTCTCTTTTCTGTCTTCGCTCATCTCTTCTTTTCCCTTTCTTTTCTCTTCTCTTTTCTCTCTTCGCTTATCTCTTCGTTTCCCCCCGTAATTGTTAGTATTCCATGCATTTCTGCTTGCTCCGTCTAGCAGAGCACGCAGAAATGTGGTTGAGCTCTTCTATTCCCCCGTGTCCCACCAGGTAAATGGCCCCCCTTAATTTTTAGTATTCCATGCATTTCTGCTTGCTCCGTGTGCACGAGGCTAGCAGAGCAGGCAGAAATGTTGTTGAATTCTTCTCTTCCCTCGTGTCCCACCAGGTAAATGGCCCCCCGTAGTTGTTAGTATTCCATGCATTTCTGCTTGCTCCGTGTGCACGAGGCTAGCAGAGCACGCAGAATGTGGTTGAGCTCTTCTATTCCCCCGTGTTCCGTTAGGTAAATGGCCCCCCTTAATTTTTAGTATTCCATGCATTTCTGCTTGCTCCGTGTGCACGAGGCTAGCAGAGCAGGCAGACATGTGGCTGAGCTCTTTAGCATTCCATATCTTTTGTATTTTTGTTACTCTTAGCGGTAATATTCGACGTCGAGCATGTCTTTCATGCCGAAGCTGACGGCAGGGTCATCCGCTTTTTTCGCGCTTCCAACGGGCAAAAACTCCTTCAGTCATGGACGTCAAATTTTGTCCCGGCAGAACGTTTGTTCTCCAGGCACGCAGAGCACAAAGACTGGTACTTGGGCCTTTGGTTGCGACCATGCATGTGGACATGAGTCATTGGTCCCGAGTGGTCCGTGCCATCGCCCGCTAGCTCTGCTGAGCACGAGGTTGGCCAGGCAAACGATGACTCAGCGCTTCTTTTCGAAGGCCTTGCTGCGCCAAGCGAACTGGCAGCCGCCTCTATTGGCACGCGGCAATTTTCAGTGCGGCTGCTGCGGCTGTCCATGCGTTTCTCAAAAACAGACCCTGAGGAAGGCCGCCAGGTGACCGCTTGCATGTGCGATGGCTCTCCAGCAAGAAGGTTCTTCCACACACTGGCTCCATACCACTTGCTCAGAAAGACTGCCAGTGGAGCCGGGACTTTTGCCCAGGGGACATCCTTCCACCAATCCAATGCTGCCGCAGCATTCACCGCCGAAAAAGCCTGGAACGGATACAGGAGTACTGCAATGTGGCCACTCAGTCTGTATACCAGCTTATACTGGTCCTCCGGCATCGAAATGATGCTATACATCGCTTCCGCAAGCGTCTTCAAATGTTTATCAGTACCAGCAATCATAGCCTTCAGCTCATCGTCATCCAAGAAAGCACAGCTTTTGCCACTAACAGAGGAATAAACCAGCCGACGATTAACTTGATAGACAAGCTGCCGCACTACCTTGCTTGAGTGCCCTTTCGTCTGCGCCCACAGAGCTTCATCAGCGCCTCGCCGGCATGACCTGAAAAAAATGAACCACAGAAGTTCCTCATGCAGCCTGCAGGGACCTAAACGACTTCTGATGAGAAAGATGAAGTGCCTTGCAACGAAACGAAAACTATAGTACAGGACAGTAATATAGAAAAAAATAAGGAATTAATCACTTAAAAGACGCAAATCTGGGGTTCGGCCAGTCTGTATCATATAGACCAAACAGGCTGTCGCAAGAGGAGCTCTTGGAGGGCATTTTGGCCCGGATCACATAGAAGATGCGCCAAGAAAAAAATACAAACATCATGTTACCGTCCTGGACATAAGCAAACCAGACAGTGCCACAACCAGCCCTGATATGAGATTGCCACAATCATGGATACTCAAATCGTTCCGAGATGCTCCAACAAGTCTGCGAGCTCTTTGTCCTCCTTCTGCTTTATCAACGCATCAAAGCCTTGCAGTAGG